AAAATCGAGGATAAATCTAGCCAGGAAGCCGCTTCGGACGATCGCGAAGGAGAAGAAAAAAAATCGAGGATAAATCTAGCCAGGAAGCCGCTTCGGACGATCGCGAAGGAGAAAACCAAAACTCGGGGCTAAATCCGGGCTCTGGTTTCTTCTGATGTTTCTCTACTGGAAGAAGCGGGGGGCTTACGAGCTGGAGGCGTTGCCCCCCGATTTGTCGGATCCGGAGGCGAGCCTGGTGGAGAGGTTCTCCTGGAGGTCGACGCTCAACATTGCATCCCAGGATCCGGAGGGTAAGTCAGTCGAGAATTGGACGGTCTTTCAGAGTGACAAGAGCTGGAAGGGGTCTCGGGGGGTCATCTAGTCCAACCCCCCGCTCAAGCAGGAGACCCCTCGACCATTCCGGACAAATGGCTGTGCAGCCTCTTGTTGGAAGCCTGCCGCAGTGATGGGAGCACCCCGCAATTTCTGGATGGAGGCCGTTCCCTTGGTTAATTGATCTGGGATTACAGAATAACAGAACAGGATGAGACCTCGGGGGGTCATCTAGTCCAACCCCCCGCTCAAGCAGGAGACCCCTCGACCATTCCGGACAAATGGCTGTGCAGCCTCTTGTTGGAAGCCTGCCGCAGTGATGGGAGCACCCCGCAATTTCTGGATGGAGGCCGTTCCCTTGGTTAATTGATCTGGGATTACAGAATAACAGAACAGGATGAGACCTCGGGGGGTCATCTAGTCCAACCCCCTGCTTTTCAGTCTCTTCTTAAAAACCTGCAGTGTCCTAGAGACTTGCTGGCTTCCCGCTGCTCTTGCAAAGGGTCACAAGGGGGGGGCTACAGATTGTCCTTGAATTACGACCTTCCCTTTAGCGACCAAAGTTACAACGGTATTGAAAAAGTGACCCCCGGGGGAACTGAAGTCCATTGCTACGTGCCACGTGACCACGGGGGGGTGCCACGATGGTTGTAAGCGTGGGAAACGGCCCTTTTTGCAACTTGCAATGGTCGCTAAGCGAACTGTCGTAAGTCGAGGGGGGCCGGCAGCGCGGGAAGAAACCGCACAGGGCAAGCTTATTACATCGCGAGGACGGGTGTGCACGATCGTCCGATTCTTGCAGGGTTCAGAATATCATCGTTTGGGGGGGGGGAGAGGTCAAAAAAGTCAAGATGGCGACAGGGGCCTTTCCAAGCGTTTCCAAGGCAACCTTCGCCCACCTTGGCTGGGACCGTCCCGAACCAATGGGGCGGTCGCTCGCTTCGGCTGACCAATGGGAGAGGGCGAAGCGCTTTTCTCTCGTGATGGGCCCTACTGCCCGAGCTAGGGGGGGTCAGTCTAGATGACCTCCGGGGGTACCTCCCCATTCTGTAGAATTCTGTAATGTTTGCTGCTCCGCTCCAGATGCTGGCCGTCACAAAACCTCTTTTGTTGCTTGGATCTGTGTTGGAAAGGGGGGGGGGGAGAGATGAAAAGGACGACACACACACACACACACACACACACACACAAACACACATCAGCCCAGCTGGAAGGCCGATTCTATTTTACAAAATTATATTCTCCTCCTCCTCCTCCTCCGAGGAAGGCATAATGCCCTAATTATGCGATCCGGGTTTGTGGGAGGGTTGAAATGCAAAAGCTTTTAAGAGATTCAAGGGTTTTTTTGAGCAGGAAGAGACACAGTTGTGAGACGAAGGAAGTGTTAACGTCTGCAGGGTTTGTCTGTGTGTGTGTGTGTGTGTGTGTGTGTGTGGTGTCCTCGACTTACGACCGACCGTACAGATGGTCCTTGATGGACTTAATAACGCATTTAATGCCGCAGGTCTGAATTGGTGGTTAAAGGCACCAAGCTAGAAACCAGGAGGCGGTGAGTTCTAGTTCCTCCTTAGGAATGAAAGCAGGCTGGGTGACTTTGGGCCAATCACCACGTGACAGGGAGTTCTAGTCCCGCCTTAGCCATGAAATCGGCTGGGTGACTTTGGGCCAATCCCCAGGAGAATGGGAGTTCTAGTCCCGCCTTAGCCGTGAAATCGTCTGGGTGACTTTGGGCTAATCACCAGGAGAATGGGAGTTCTAGTCCCGCCTTAGCCGTGAAATCATCTGGGCGACTTTGGGCCAATCCCCAGGAGAATGGGAGTTCTAGTCCCGCCTTAGCCGTGAAATCATCTGGGCGACTTTGGGCCAATCCCCAGGAGAATGGGAGTTCTAGTCCCTCCTTAGGCAAGGATCACCTCTCCATACCTGGAACTGTGATAGGAAGAGAGGGTGAAATTGACTCGCCTCTGTGAAACAAGTTTGGGAAACTGATTTGAAGGAAATTGACCCGCGAAGGACATCTCAAATCCTCGTTTTCGCAAAGGGAACAGAAAAAAATAACTTTTTCACTTAAAAAAAAAATAATAACCAGGCCTTGAGCGCCGAAGGGAAAAATCAAATCCATCTATCATTGTCTATCGGGGGAAAAAACAACCAAATTAACTTAGGCCCCCCCCCCCATCAATACAGCTGCAAAGTCGCTCAACTCTGCTTGTGTTTTATACCCAGTGGTGGTCGTGGCTACATTCACACACTTTGACCCGTGTCCTGACGGGGCTGGACTAGATGACCTCAATGTTTTTTTTAATCCACGCTACTGAGAAGCAACACACACACACACAAACACACAAAATACACCACACAGTTGGCTGCAATTTAGGGGTCTTTCTCCCCCTCCCTCCTATTGTACCCCCCAGTTTATCCCAGTGTTGCAACTGGATTTCCTCACTCGGTGGCCTTTTTCTTGGCTGGAAAAACGGCCCATTTCCACTTTCCTTGTTATTCATAATAGATTGTTGGGCAGAAATAATTTTGCCCGGCCTTTTGGCCAATAGGAATGCTGTCACTAAGTGGTCAAGGACAGACAAGGAGACAGAAGGGCCTTTGTCTGACCGGAGGGGGGGGGGTCTGGCTGGCCAGAAAAATTTGGAAGCGTGGGCAGCCCATCTCTCTCTCTCTCTCTCTCTCTTTCCATCTCTCTTTCTCTCCCTCCCCCCTCTCCTCTGTCTCTCTCCCTCCCTCCCTCCTTTCTCTCTCCCTAACTCCTCCTTTCTCTTTCTCTCTCCCTCTTTTCTCACCTCTCCATCTCTCTCTCTTCTTTCTCCTCCTCCCTCCCTCTTTGTCTCTCTTTCATCTTTCTCTCCCTCTCTCCTCTGTCTCTCTCTCCCTCCCTCCTTCTCTCTCCCTAACTCCTCCTTTCTCTTTCTCTCCCTCTTTTCTCACCTCTCTCCATCTCTCCTCTCTTTCTCCTCCTCCCTCCCTCTTTGTCTCTTTCTCTTTCATCTCTTTCTCTCCCTCCTCCTCTCCTTCTCTGTCTCTCTCCCTCCTTCCTTCTCTCTCCCTAACGCCTTCTTTCTCTTTCTCCCTCTTTTCTCACCTCTCCCCATCTCTCTCCTTCTCTCCCTCCCTCTTTCTCTCCCTCTTTGTCTCTCTCTTTCCATCTCTCTCCCTCCCCCCTCTCCTTCTCTTTCTCTCCCTCCTTCCTTCTCTCTCCCTCCTCTTTCTCTCTCCCTTTCTCACCTCTCCATCTCTCTCTCTCCTTCTCTCCCTTCTTTCTCCTCCTTTCTCCCTCTTTGTCTCTCTCTCTGTCTCTCTCTCTCTTTCTCTCTCTCTCTCTCACCTTTTCTCTCTCTCTCAAAACGGAGCAAAATTAATTGAACTGCCTCACTTTGCAACATAAATTTGGGGCCCAGTTGTGGCCGTAAGTTGGGACTCTCTGCCTCTAAGGAGACCAACTGTCTCACACGGATTAAACTACCGTGTCTTCCTCTCCTCTTTCTAATTCCAGATGAAGAAGATGCAGCGGTGGAGGAGACGGTGCCCCAGTGCGAAAACCCCAGCTGTGCTGAGAACCAGAGGGCCGTCAAGGTAATTCCCCTGCCCACCAGCAGTGCCCCATGGGCCTTGGGATCTATCCTGGCCAGATAGGTTCAGCGGTATTCTAAACCGGAGTGCTTGCCACAGAGTGAATTGACTGCGTGAATGCAGAATAACAGAGTTGGAAGGGGCCTTGGAGGTCTTCTAGTCCAACCCCTGGCTCGAGCAGGAGACCCTAGACCATTTCAGACAAACGGATGTCCAGTCTCTTCTTAAAACCCCTCCAGTGTTGGAGCAACCACAAGTAGCAAGTAGTCCCACTGATTAATTGTCCTCCTTGTCAGGAAATGTCTCCTTAATTCTAGGTTGCGTCTGGAAAATAAGTGGATCCCTTCTTCTTCTTTCTGAGGAACCCCTCAAATACTGGAAGATTGCTATCATGTCAGTTCTAACACACACGCACCCCCACACACAAATTTAGACACGGGATATTTCCGATTTGCAGCATGGAAGGACTCAGCTTGCAGGCAGGAATGGCAGGTGGTCCTCGGGTTACGACTGAAGCCCCAAAGTTACGCTGCTAAGCGAAGCCTTTGTTAAGCGAGCTTTCCCCCCATTCCTTCGGGTGACGGTTTTTCTCGACCACGCGGCCCATCCTCCCCAGCCAGGGGCCCCTCTCGCCTCTCCTAAGGGACTCCTGCCAAAATGCAGAGGTCCGACCCGGGTCAGCCTCTCGTAATGTGTGAATTGGCTGCAGGCCAGCCCTTCCCTCGGCCAGACCCCCAGGCGCAGCGCTGAGACCCACAATTTTCCTGGCGGATTCTGCAGCCAGATTGCAATTTGTGTGTCTCCAAGCAAATTAGCGGCTGGGGAGACTGTCTCTCTTCTTCCCCGGCTTTAATCGGTTCGCCTCTTCCCGTAATAAAACCGCATTTTATTCTCCCCCCCCCCCCCCCCCCGTTGAAGAATCAGCTGTTTGGGGGGGGGTCCTTTTCTTAAATTTGGTCTTTGCGTGTGACGTTTTAAGTCCTTTCCAGACCTCGCTGCTGTTCCCCCCCCACACACACTTTAAAATAGCCACTTTGGCTCACAATTTCCCCTCCCTTTTTATTCATTGGTGTTTCGTTTGCGAATTGTGAATTATCCGCTAATTGTCGGCCGCATTTTATGACCTTGCTGGCCACGGCCGTTAAGGGCCGCTGTTAGCTGTGTCTCTTTTCCCCCTCTGCAAAGGTCTTTCCTGCCACCACAATAAGAACCTTGCAAATTTGAAAGTACAATCCTTCCCCCGCTTTTTTTTACAACCTGAGAAACTAGAAAGGGTCCCTTCTGGGTCTCTTTCTCCACTCATCATGCAGCTGAGGGCTATGCGGTCTCTTATCTGACCGTTCCCTTGGCTGTGTCTCCTTTTCTCATCTCCCAAGGTCCTTCTCACCCAGCCCTACAAGAATTCTTGCAAGTCTGAAAATGCAATTCTCCTGCGGTCTCTTTTATAGGCTGAGAAACTAGGGGGGGGGGGTCCCTTCTGAGCTTCTTAACCCCTTCCAATATCCAGGGGGAGGTTATGGAGTCTCTTATCTGACCGAAGGTCCTTCTCATCGAGCCCTACAAGAATCTTGCAAGTCTGAAAAAGTACAATTCTCCCACGGTCTCTTTTACAGCCTGAGAAACTAGGGAGGGTCCCTCCTGACTCCCTTTCTCAGCACATTATGCAGCTGATGGCTATGCGGTCTCTTATCTGACTATTCCCTTGGCAACATCTCTTTGTCTCGTACCTCAATGTCCTTCTCATCTAGGCCTACGACAATCTTGCAAGTCTGAAAGTACAATTCTCCCACGGTCTCTTTTACTGGCTGAGAAACTAGGGGGGGTCCCTTCTGAGCTTCTTAACCCCTTCCAATATCCAGGGG